AATAGAGAAGCATCAGCCAAAGAAAGGTATGTGAGAACAAGTAAGATTAACTTGAGATACAATAAACCAAGAGAGTATACACTAACTTATCCGTCAGAGTGCTAATTCTGGCACCCCCGGCCGGAGTGTTCATTCCTTTTTAGGTAACTAGCTGAGGATCAAGAGCGTCCTACAAGATCCAGAGAGTATTTCCAAACCACGTCTCCACATCTATAAATTATATTAATATTTCACTTGCGTTAATTATTTTTTGAACTCTATTTACTTAAATTGAAACCCATAGATATGATTGTTTAATTTTTAGAAATTATTTGGCAATAATTATATAAATATTTATTTTTGTGAGTACCACCATGGGAGTCCAATGTTTTGGAAGACTTAAATTACCATTAGCCTCTGATTGGTCAATTTGTGTCCTTCTATTTGTCATGGATCCATTGACCCCTGTTCTGATTGTCACTCTAGTGACCTCTGTTATGTCCTGTTCTACACCATGGTTATGGTTATTTATTTACATAACTTCTGGATTTCAATTTCCGCCACTTAAATAATTTATTTACTCAAATTAAGTTTGTTTAATGCTTTAGCTTAAATAACTATCAATGGTTATTTTGAACCCTATGCTCTTGATATGATATCTCTCACTCTGTTGTGTACTTATAGTTGTTACCCCTTTCAGGTGATGAAATATAAAGAAGGATTGTAACTTCGTGTAGTGGGATCAGTACGAAATTTGATGCGGATCTTTTTTTTTTCTCTTTTGCTTATAATTTTCTGTTACCGAATAATAAAATAAGAAAAACCCAATGGATGTATTTCCTTTTATTAAAATTTAATTATCTATTTGATTACTTTCTTAGTTTCTTTCCGCCTCTGCCTGCGCCACTTAATTTGCCAAAATTAAAATTAATTAGCAAGTTACAATTCCAGCCCTAAGCAACCAGGGTTGGGATGTGACGAAATGAATTTGAATTATTTACTTTTATTCAATCTAAATTAGCAAATGATTGATAGTTATTTGTAATGTAATTTTATTTGTGCCCGCAAAAACATAACTGTGTTATAGATTTTGTTCCTTTTTTTTAAAATATAATTAATGGCATCATGATAATAATATAGATAGATAGATAGATAAATATGGGAAAATTAGTGAAATATCCCTCTCCAATTTTGTGTCATAGGAGAGGTCCAAGATATTTTTTTTATTAACTAAGGTCTCTTAATGAAATTTCTCTGTGATCATACTAGAGAAATTTTGGAATTTCTCTGTGTCAAGGCCGAAATTTCTTTGAGTCGAGGTAAAATTTCTCTAAGTCAAATTTTCTTTATGAAAATGTTGAAGGACCTTAACTACTATGAAAAATTGTATGGCCTTTATCTTATAAAATCTTCATTAAAAAAATTCTAAGCTTTGTTAATTTTCATTAAAAAAAATTCAAGGATCTTAAAAAAAATTCTTCATATATATGTATTGCTAAGTTTTGTTTGATGATAAAGCAACTTCTATCCAGAGATTAGCTTAACCTCATATTTTCATTTCTAGGTGTCAAATCTGCGGATTGAGTAAATTACCGGCAAAGCCTACAGGCGTGGCCTCAAGAAATTGATAGCACCTAATAAGAGTTGAACCTGACACCTAGAAGGAGCACACACCCAAGCTAATACATGCTTAATGAAAGTACTGTTTGAATTTTGGAATTGCATATAAAAAACAAAAAGATAAATAATATAAAAAAAAAATGAAAGTTGTTAAATTTGCACCCTTCAATAGGCTAGTCATTGCAATAGCTATTTTTAAAAAAAAAATTCTTCAAGTTGACTACATTTGAAGAGTCTTGATACCTTAAATAATTTGTGCAGTTGAATAGATAAAATAAAAAGTAGTCATTTTTTGTACTTTAATTGAAAAATGAATAATAATATTGAAGTTGTTCTTATAGAATAAATGGTAAAGAAATCTATAAAACCCCTTCAACTATAGGAATGCTAATATTATATAAACAAACAAAAATACAAAAAATTAATATATAAAAAGCATCTCCAATGAGCTCTTTAAAAGAAACTTGTTAGTTATTATAGCTAATGAGGATTAGCTACTGCAATAATTATTTTAACAAAATTCTTCCAAGCTAACTACATTTGGAAAGCCTTGGGAGGCTCTTTAAATTAATTTGTATAAATAAATATGTGAAATAAATAGTAACGTTGGAGCACATAAATAAAAAGTTAGTTAGATAAAATAAAGAGTATATCTTTTTCATCATTTAGCTAATGAAAAATGAAAAGTACCAACAAAGTTAGTCTAATGATATGGCTCAATATAGAAGGATCATTTTAAAACAAAATTCACTCAAATGGCTCTTAATTTTTACCACATCATACTTTTTGAAGAAGAAATTGAGGTACAGAATTAATGATTGATCAAACCTCTAGTGACCCATTACACTCTGTTTGGATCGTGAGGTGAGGGGAGAAAAAAAATGATTATGATTTCTCACCGAGGTGAGAAAAGAAAGGAAAAAATGATTATGGTTCTCATTATTGTGTTTGGATGAATAAAAGAGAAGAAAATGTGATTTCACACATATCTTGTGTGGATAGAGTAAATAAAAGAACAAAAATGAAAGTGTTGTGTTTTATAACCTCCTATATTAATAACCTTTTTTTTTTTATAAGGGTAATTTTGGTATTTTAAAAAACCTTTCATTAAACCTAATTTATTTCTCACAAAATCTCACCACTATTGGTGAGAAACAAAACATAGGCTTGGTGGGAATCATTTTTTCACCATCTCTCATTATTTTTCATCATTTCACACTTATTTAACCATGTAAATAAGTGAAGAGGCTTTCTAATCTCACAATTTGTTTTCTTTTTTCACTAAATTCCTCCATCCAAACGGAGTGTTAGGGTGACTCGAACTCAAGACATTTGATCTTATTCTTCATGTCCTTGCTATTTAACCAAACCCTTAAAGTTATACTTTGCACCATATTATAGTGACTCAAGTATCAAAGTATCCCCAATTGAATGAGAAGTTATTGATTGTTTCAAGTACAGCGCCACGTGATGCTCTACATGCATTGTGATTGGTGAAGAGAGTGGGGTTCACGATTTTGTATTGGATGATTTGAGAACATAAGAGAATATAAGGGTTTGTGATTGGCCTGGGGTATAGCCACGTAGTGCCCTATAACCAACTAATAATTTTTCCAATTCATAACCTATGTTTTTTCATAAGGACAATTTTGATATTTTAAAAAACTTTCATTAAACCTAATTCCTTTCTCACCAAATCTCACCACTTTTGGTAAGAAACAAAACATAGGTTTAGTGAGAATCATTTTTTCACCATTTCTCACCTACTTAACCATCCAAATAAGTGAAGAGGCTTTCTATTCTCGCAATTTCTTTTCCTTTCTCACCAAACCCCTCCATCCAAACGGAGTGCTAAGGTGACTCAAACTCAAGACATTTTATCTTATTCTTAAGTCTTTGTTGTTCAACCAAACCCTTAAAATTATACTTTGCACCATATTATGGTGACTCAAGTATCAAAGTATGCCCAATTGAATGAGAAGTTATTGGTTGTTTCAGGTGTAGCACCACGTGATACTCTACATGCATTGTGATTAGGGCTGCAAACGAATCGAGCCGAGCCGAGCTTTGTTGAGCTCGAGCTCGGCTCGTTTACTTATCGAGCTCGTTTATTGAGCTCGATCTCGGCTCAATAAGGAACTGGGCTCGAGCTCGGCTCGGCTCGTTAATTTTAATGAAACTCGAGCTCGGCTCGATAAATTTTTTTTAATATTATTTATATTATTTAAATATAAATATTTAAATAAAAAATATTATTTATATTATTTAATATATAAAAAATGTATTTATATTATTATTTTTATATATATTTATATATTTTTAATATATAAATAATATATTTATTATATAATTTAAATAAAAATAAACGGGCCAAGCTTAATAAACCGAGCTTATACGAGCTCGAGCTCAGCTCATTTACTAAACGAGCCTAATATTCGAGCTCGAGCTCGGCTCGTTTACTAAATGAGCCGAGTCGAGCCGAGCCCTTAATGAGCCGAGTCGAGCTTGTTCATAAACAGCTCGGTTCATTTGCAGCCCTAATTGTGATTGGTGGAGGGAGTGAGGTTCACGATTTTGTATTGGATGATTGAAGAACATGAAAGGATATAAGGTTTGTGATTGGCCTGGGACATAGCCACGTGGTGCCCTAAAACCAACCAATAATTTTTCCAATTCATAACCTATGTTTTTTCATAAGGGCAATTTGGTATTTTAAAAAAACTTCCATTAAACCTAATTTCTTTCTCACCAAATCTCACCACTTTTGGTGAGAAACAAAACATAGGTTTAGTGAGAATTATTTTTTCACCATTTCTTACCTACTTAACCATCCAATTAAGTGAAGAAACTTTTTATTCTCACAATTTTTTTTTTACTTTTTCACCAAACCCCTCCATCCAAACGGAGTGTTAGGGTGACACGAACTCGAGACATTTGATCTTATTCTCAAGTCTTTACTATTTAACCAAACCCTTAAAATTATACTTTGCACCATATTATAGTGACTCAAGTATCAAAGTATCCCTAATTGAATGAGAAGTTATTGGTTGTTTCAAGGGCAACGCCACGTGATGTTCTACATATGCATGCTCCCGATTTTGTGTTAGGTGATTAGAGAATATGAGGATGTATGAGGATTTGTAATTAGCCTAGGGTATAGCCATGTAGAGAATACACCGGTGTTCGCCTCAACCGTAATCATCCACTCATTCGGATGCGATCTCCAATTTTTTATCCACACAAATTTTTATGATAATACAATTATTTTCTTTACAGGAAGCATCTTTCAATTATATTTGGGAGACTGTTTCGTAAATGTAAATGTAGGTGTGGAGATAGCTCTTCCATGTATATATTCTACGACAGAAACAGATCAAAGAAACCAGCAGTCTTTACCATCTGTGGAACGAAAGCATTGATTAATAATACAAGACCCTATTTATTTGCACTACATAAAATTAAAGACCAGTTGCAAGAACAACAACCTGAAACTAAAATTAATGGCAACCCTATCACAGAATATGCCAGGATTAATTAGGAAGCATAATACATCATCATATGTATAATATAATCCCAAATAAAAAGGAAAAGAAAAGATATCCATATCCACTCTTACAAGGTGTATTCGCAGACTTGGCTGCTCTACATAGGGTCTAAGAGTGATAATATGCAGACAACCTTACCCCCGCTTTTATGCAGACAAGTTGACATGATTCCAACAGTCCTGGGATGGATGAGTACTTGCTACCATCATGCCAGATCAATGATGTACTCCTAGTCCTCCTCGTACTACTAGTAGTATTAGTAGTAGTGCTAATAATGTTATTATGGTTTTGGGCACCTCCAGAATGCATTAAATAACAATAATTTGTTGCCAAAATTTGACAATCTGAAACTGGAACAGGACGACATGGCTCCACTACCTCCTCTTCTCGCATCTCATGTGTCCCATCATCTTCAGCCATTATTCTCACAAACTCCTTCAGGGCACTACGCATCCACTCGTACCGGCACAGTTTGAATGACTCTTTGATGGACAACTGCATGTGTACACATATCACATATACTATTACTATATATATATTAAAAAAAAAGAAAGTTTTCAAGGTAAATCAGCAATGGGCACACACTTAATTTGCATACTATGACTAACCCATTTTCTATCCCGGTTTCCCTGCTCCGGCCAGTCCTCAAGCTCCTCCGTCACCTCCAATGCAAACATATAACCTTTGCAGCCTCCTTCCTGCAGCCTGCATATTTCTTGACTGCTCTTGCTCCGAAACTCCCAAACTCCTAGTGGTTTTCCCTAAACAAACAGAAATATGATCAACCTATATATATATTACACATGTAGTCTAGACATGGTGTGAGACAGGTATTAGTACCAAATTAATTTAATGCCATGTCAACATACTCCTATTGTACAAGTATAAATGCTGAAAGGAAGTCCAGTAAGCATCACAAATTTTTAACAATATGATATGAGATTACATTGAGCAAAACATGGCATACATTTCCCACAACAACCAACTGGAAATAGTCAAGTTTCAGGGAATAATATAACATCTTACTTTAATGTTGCACAACATATAAACTCCATTCCAAAAGTATTTCTTGTCTTTCCTAATTTATATTTTTTATTTTCTCCATACACAGCAGCATATATTTTGATTAGCAAAAGTAACTAGATACAATCTTCAAATTCAAAACCCCCACCAGCCACAAAAGTGGATATACAGCATCATATATCGTCAGCTATGAACACCACAAATGATTTTCTTAAAAGTAATATCATAAATACCCGAGGTTCTTACTCACTAGACCCAAGGCAGTTGTGCCCTTATTAATAAATACAGGATATGTGAAACCTATTTGTTTGTGTCTAGTGGGGTAAGAAATATGAGTTCATGTGTAATATTTTTCTTTTCCCAATCTTCCAAAAATATTTCTCCCTTACCATCCTAAATGAATAAACCCAAGGCATCTATACATAGATGCTTGGAACCCTTTGAAGAGTCATACATACATGTTGATTTCGAGTTGTTGATAGTGTATCTAAGATGCACGAGCACTTCTCAGAAGATAGTGTATCTGTATCTGACACATGTTAGACTTCAGCACTCCTCAGATACATCTCGACACATGTTAGATACATATCCAAATATGTCGTATTATTTTTATTTTTTTTATTATTTTTTTTTAAATCAGACACATTTTAGACACTTACTTTAAGAATTCCTTTCACTCCTGCTTCTTCTAATGCTTCACGACATGCAGCTTCTTCAAGAGTTTCATCATCCTCCCATCCACCCTGAAAACAGAGATAATGGTTATATAGAATTAAAAAAAACTAACATTTCAGATGGAAAGATTTTAGTAATGCTGCTATTGCAAATTTGTGATGAAGATAAAAGGGGTAGTATATATATGTATTTACCTTTGGAAACACCAGGTCATCACGATTTGGTGAAGAAATCATGAGAACTTCTATTTCATTCTCAAGATCAATGTTATGATCTTCATCACCTTTTGTCACCCGGTAAGGAATACACCTGTTGATTGCACTGCATAAGTAAGCAACAGGAAACCAACCTAGTTGGCTGAACAATCAGACTGGCAATCGCATGTTTATCCTTGATCTTCTATTTGTGCATTGCTCATATATGATTTTATGCTTTAATTTAGAGGTTTCAAATCACATCAAGATTTCTGATAAGCAGAAATCTGCATGCACCATTGGCGTAATTAGAATCATCAAGTCCAAAGCATAGTTAAGAATCTTAAGACAACATCATGAAATCAGACAATATAAAAAGATAATCAGATAAGAATTTTAACAGGAAAATGATTCTTCTCTTATTTCTATGCACTATACAAAAATTTGAAGTAGATCCTTTTAAAGCCTTGGAAAAAAACACCAAGGTTCACCTTTTTATTTCCCTTTCCAAATCCCTACCCAAACCAAATCCATGATCCAAACACAGCCTAAAGGAACAAGAATCACTCATCAAAGAGGCACTTGGATGTCCATTGACAATGTCCACAAGACAGATTAAGAAAATTTTGAATTTTGAAATGTAAATGGTAACATCATTATGTATTGTTACCTGCTTCGCATTCACAAAATGCACAAAATCACCATACCATCTTGAGCTTCCTCCTTTTAAAGTATAGCTAGAACTTTTTTAACAACATTCGGGTTTGAATTTTATTCTTTTGTTTGGTGGAGAACCATCATTAGGATATAAAGTTTTTACGGAAGGAGCAAAAAATTCAAACAAATTCTGGAGTTAATTTCATATTGACATCCAAAATTCTGCAGTTCTTTCCTCCTCCTCTTCTTCTTCTTTTTCTCTCTCACTTGTTATTCTTTCTCATACATTTTTCAATGCCACAAAGAAATACGTAATTATGAAGCGTTCATATAATTTTAGAAGACTCTTTCTCGCCCACAATTCAGATATGTGTCCCTTCTCTAGGGAAGAAAGAAAAAAACAATCATGATAATTATTAAGTTCTGGATGTGCTGAAAGTAGTAACGTAGCTCTGTGTGTATGTGTGCTACACGTATATACAATGTTTTTGGTAGATCACAAAATAAAATTTAAGAGGCGGAATAGTCTTCTCCCATGATTTAATGACAAGTCTGAAAAAATTTCATTTACATATGAGCCCATAAAACGGGTTTATGTTTTTTCTTGATGTACTAGAAAATTTATAATGTTTCAATAAACCAAGGTGGGTGAACTTTTGTTAAACCTACTACCAATTACCTACTACTTTCCTTTATTATCTCAATAGATAGGTGTTTGGGAAGTTGTTATTTTAGTAGGTTTTTTTAGTTTTTGATTATTTTAGGAGGTTAAAATTTGTGTGTTTGGGAAGAAAGTTGAGCTTTTTTGTAGTTGGATATGATGTTTATGAGAGAAAAAGTGAAATGATTATTGATTTGATATGACATTTTGTCTGGATTTTTTTTTTTAAAACCAATTTTGTCATTTAGTGTTTTTTTAGCCAAAAAAAAAAAACTTCCCAAACACCCCATAGTAATTTATTTATGAAATGGGGAGCACGAGGCATGTAGAGGCCTTCTGCACCTTGTATAAATAAATAATCTAAGGACAAGAAAAACGTTAAATCCCCAAGAAATAAACCAAAAGGAAGGGGGGGGGGACAAAGAAAGAAATGAAGAAAAACCAGCCTATGTTAAAGTTTTAAAGATTTAATATAGGCAATGATCCCATCATCAATTACAAAACGACAGCATAATTTAACAGTTGCTGAATAAATAAAATCTATAATCAATAATTTAACCAGTGAATTCACTAAACCAATGAATCTAAACATTGCAGTCTAGTGCGAGGTTGCCTTTACATCTGTTCATACTTGAGAAATCCTCACCTAACCCTGCCCCTCCTCCCTAGCCTTGAGAAAAAGCCAACTTATGCATGTATTATTATTATAAATCAAAATCTATAATAAGGGATTAATTTGATCCACAAATTCCACATATGGGACAAGGATAAGATAAATCATGCCAAAAATCATTACACACAACAGACACTTGAAAATACATAAAATACAATACAATACAATAATAATACAAAACATATTTTATAGTGACCATTGAAGTCAATGAAGAGGCCCACTCTGGTGTAATCATTTTATCATCAAAATAACTTTTTTAAATTATATTTTATTTTAATTTTTAAATCTAATGGGATGCATCGTGGAACTCAATCGACACACTTGTTTGTCTCAACTAAAGAAAATCAGTCAGTAAATACAGTCAATCTGCGGTTGCGCAAACGTAAATGAACAGTTGGAAGACGCAAAGTTAACCTGCGGATAAGAACGATTCACAGTTGCAACACTGATTTCAACACACTAGAGATAAGCGATTCTTCTCCTGGGGCTGCAAAAGTCAAAATTTCAAGAGAGAGAGAGAGGGGGAGAGGGAGGGGGGGTTTACCCAGAAACAAGCCTAAGATTGTTGTCATAACGCTGGCGGAGTCTGCCCGTTCGTGCAACAAGAGACGCCATGGCAATCCAAGAATCAATCAATCAAATCCTACAAAAAATGAATTTTGATTATATCAATCAGTAAAGGGATCATCAATCGACAAAAAAGGAAGTTAAAAAAAAAAAAAAAAAAAGAATAATGATAAATTTATTTACGTACTGTCGGGGTTTTGGAGAACAAGGAGGGGACGACGGACTTTCATAACCAAAGAATCCACCTCCAACGAATGTTGTTGTCGTAAAGCTTCACCATTCAAATGCAAAGTTCCCTCAAACCTGTTCTCTAGGTTTGTCTCTTCCTCTATTTCTCTATTTAATAATGATGATGATAATAATAATAAACACAGGAAGTTTATTTAATACAAGAGCACTTTCGCAGTCAAATAATGTGAAATTGCAACAAACAGAATCCCCAACCCATTTTGGAAGACAACATCGTGTATATATTAACAAACAAACGAGATACAGAGAGGACCAACTTCTCAATACAGCAATTTCTTCCAGAAACAGAAACAGAAACAGATAGAGAAGAGAGAGAAAGGGGGAGGGAGAGAGTAATTTTAGGAACACAGAGAGAGAGCAACGACACCAATGCAACGCATAACGGCAACTCTTAAAACGCCCCTGGCCGACAAATGTTTTTTCTTTTGTCTTTACCGCTTTTTTATTTATATTTTTTTTTTCTTCAAAATTTTGATTTTAAAATAGAATTAATAAGCGAAAAGTGTATTTCTATGCAGTTCTATATTATTTAGGCTTTGTTTGTCATGTATTCAAAAAGTTAAAAAGTCATTATTCTATTTAAGTTACATTATCTTATTTAAATCATATCATTTCTTTATCACATTACTTCAAATTTAACCTAAATTCAATCTATATTTCATAAAAAATCAAAAAATACAATTATTTAGAGCATTCTAAACCACCTCTTAATTTAAGATTAATTTTTTCAATAACAAGGACATGAATTAATTTCACATTGAGCACGGAGAGATGGAGGCATTGAGGGTAAAATTAGAGTCATTCTTTATAAATTGGGCGAATTACACTATGATTCCTATAATTTTGGAATCGTGTTATTTTGATTTTTAATTTTTTAATTGTGATATTTTTTATTTTAAATTTTAAATTTTGTTCTAAATAAGAACAATTGAAGATACTTTTATTTAATTTCAAGGATAAAATTATTAATTTGATAAAATATAAACTAATTTGATAAAAATAAGTGTCAAAAAAATATTTTTAAATTTTTAAAAATTATTTTTACCAACTAAAGATAAAATTATGTAAAATTGATAAACCTTTTAGACATTTATTTATTTTTTTATCTAATTAATTTTTATTATGTGTTTAGATGATGATCATATAATGGGTAATTGTTAAGATTTTAATCTGTAATCGATATATTTAATATATGAAATATTTTTAGTTTGGGATTTTTTAATTTAATGGATTGGTTTAATAATAATATCAAAGTTGTCGTAATATTTGACTTTTGGAAAAATAGAACCTAATTTAATGAAAATAAAAATAACAACACATTACATGATTATCGTCCAAACATATAATAAAAATTAATTTAGTAAAATAAATAAATAATTAAATGTTTAAGAGATTTATCAATTTTACATAATTTTATCTTTAGTGGGTAGGGATGGCAATTTGAAACCGACCCGACGGGGATCCCCGATCCCGACCCCGATTTAAGCGATTTTTTCCCGAAAAATACCCCCGACGAGGAGGGGACGGTATTTGAAAATCAATCCCCAATCTGTCACGGGCCGGGGACGGTGATTAGTGTTTAATCCCCGGCCCGGCCCGATCCCCGTCCCCGTCCCCGAATTTTCCCGAAGTGAAATTACTTTTATACCCCTTATATATATATATAATAATAAACCAAACCGTTTATAATATTTATAACATACCAAACCAATGACACTGTGTTTATAATAGTTATAATAATAATAATAAACGGTTTGGTATATTAGGGTTAGGGACCTCAAACACACTCATTCATCATCACCGCCCTCATCTCTCTCGGTCTCCCTCTCTCAATCTCCCAGACTCCCACCGCCGATCTCAATCTCCCACCGCCGATCTCCCTCCTCCCACCACCGATCTCCATCTTCCCACAACTCCAACGTCTCTCCCACCGCCGATCTCCATCCTCCCAAGCTTGCCGAATCACCGCCACCATCACCGACCAAGCTTCGTCGATCCGCCACCATCACCGACCAAGCTTCACAGATCTGGAATATTCTCTCTCTCTTTCGATTTGTTATATATATATATATATATTATATTTGAGCATTAGATTCAGATCTTCTCTTTCTATATGATATTGAATCTGAGCTCTAACTTTGAATCTGATATTGAATATGATGTTGAATCTGATTTTTTTTTTTTTATGACATTTGAGCTCATTCGATCTTCTCTTTCGATTTTTTTATATTTATTTATGATGTTGAATCTGATATTGAATATGATGTTGAATCTTATTTATGACATTTTTTTTGGAACTGATTTGAATTTGATGTTGAATGGGATGTTGAATCTGATTTTTTTTTTTCTTTTGGTCGGGGACTTTTCGGGGTCGGGAAAACCCGATCCCCGTTAAGGGGCGGGGGCGGGGGTAGTGATGAGCTCCCCGTCGGGGTCGGGACCGGGGACGAGGGGAGTTTCCACCATCAGGGATCGGGGACGGGGAGGGTGATCCCCGGCCCCGCCCCGCCCCGTTGCCATTCCTATTAGTGGGTATAAATAATTTTTAAAAATTCAAAAATATTTTTTTTGGCATTTATTTTTGTCAAATTAGTTTATATTTTATTAAATTGACAATTTTGCCCTTAAAATTAAGTAATGGTATTTTCAATTATTTTTATTTGGAATAAGATTCAAAATTCATGGTCAAATATGTCACAATTGAAAAGTTAAAGACTAAAGTAACACAGGCCTCAAACTATAGGGACCGTTAGTGTAATTCGCCCTTATAAATAATCATTATAAGACAGATTCGATAGAATTTGATCAATTCTTGTTTCTATCAGTAAGGTGGAAAAAATCAATGGTACTACATGTATCAATTAGTGTACTAATTAATTAATGTATCAACATTATTAGTTATGACATTATTATTGATTTCACTCATTATATAAATTACAAATATCAAAAACCTCTAAATTATATCATATCATCGATTAGTATACTAATTAGTACATATAGCATTATTCGGAAAAAAAAAAATGGTACTTTTAACATATAAAACTCATGACATAAGAAAAAATGATTGGCTAATAAAATGAATTAATTGTTTTTAAAATATCAAAAAAGGGATCTATTTTTCAAACTTAAAAAGGTCAAATGTATTTTTTTTTTAATTTTAAAGAGAATTTCCTTCTTTTTTTTATATATGGAATTATCAAATAAAAGTAATTATTTAAAATTAAAAAAAAATAAGAAAATTAGATTGAGAATTTGGAAATTAAGAAAATTAAAATGAGAATTTAAAACTCTTAAAAGACTTCTCACTAAAAAATCTATTTTTTTTATATAATAAGATATGATATATATCCCTAAAAAGATACACACCATAATATTTCCTTTTTATAACTCATATTTTTTGATTTTTCGGCAACAAAAATGCCACGCTCATCGCAAACCATGACGCATCTTCTTGACATGTTTCCTTCTTTTTTTTTTATATGGAATTATCAAATAAAAGTAATTATTTAAAATTAAAAAAAATTAAGAAAATTAGATTGAGAATTTGGAAATTAAGAAAATTAAAATGAGAATTTAGAACTCTTAAAAGACTTCTCACTAAAAAATCTATTTTTTTTTTATATAATAAGATATGATATATATCCCTAAAAAGATACACACCATAATATTTCCTTTTTATAACTCATATTTTTTGATTTTTCGGCAACAAAAATGCCACGCTCATCGCAAACCATGACGCATCTTCTTGACATGACGATTGGCAAAATATTAGCTATTGGCTTGAATGATGGTACAATAATTTTTTAAGTCAACTAACATCTATAAATCTTAATGGTTGAATTTTAATTAAAAAATAAAATTTGTTAATGTATTCTTTTAAGACACATATAAGAAAATTACAAAATATTAACCATTTTTATAAATAGTTAACATGTATTCTAAAAAGTAATCGTTAACAAAATGAAGAAGGTTTAAAATTTTTAGTAGGTATGAATGTTTATTAATGCTATAGATATATATCATTATTTTTTATTATATTTAGCTTAGTATGTGATGAGTCATTAGTACATTTGTGATATGAGTGATAAAATTCATTAAATTAGTATGATAATTATTAGTTGATTAGTACAATGCATGTATTTTTTTTAAAAAAATATTTGATGGTACAATGTGTGTTATAAAAAAATAATTTTAATTTAAAATTAAAGTTAAAATTAAAATTAAGTTATGGTTTTAATTATTTATTTTGATAATATTGGCGCTATCGTTCTATAAAATTGTTATTTGAATACTTATAAATATATATATATATATATATATTTTTCTTTTATATTCATTTGGGGAAAAAAATATGTAGAAATAGAAATTATATAAAATTTATTTAAAAAATTAAATATAAATATGTTATAGTTGGATTATCATATAATGATTTTATATGATATATATACATATTAAATTATAAGATTGTAAAATAAACACTCTTAATTAAATTCTATATAAAATAAATTTAATTTCCAATCAAAAAAGAATCACATAACAATATCTAAATCCAAAGAAAAAATAATGAAACACCCAAACGATAAATACATCTCAATGTGTAAAGTGATTAATCATCTATAATATGATGTCAAAAAATAAAAGAATTTATTATTCAACAATTGAAAAAGTAACTCAAGCAGTAAATCTAAATTTTAAAAGTTCTTCAAGAGTATCTTTGTTGTGCAGCTTTTTTTCTTTTGAATTGTGATTATGAAAAATAATGTAGTAAATGAAGTATAATTGCATATATAGAATCACTATAAAATTTAAACTACAAATCCATAATATAGAATTTATATTGGGTATAGAATAATACAAGGGAAAGTAAGAAGAAAAAAAAAAGTAATTTAGCATTAAAAAAAATCATAATACCCTTGAAAAAATTAAGAAGAAAAACATAAAACGCAAAATTGGAATTAGGTTTGTGGATTATCTCAATTTACTATGAAAAATAAATATTTTTCAAATAGAATCCATATAAAATATGTAAAGTTAATATAATTTAAATTATATTTGGATAAAATTTTATATGTGATTAAAACAATACATGTTGATGTGACTCTATTAGAAGAAAAAAAAGTAAGTCCTTATAATAATGTGTCCTCTAAGTATGAGAAAAATACCACTTTTAATCAAGGTTTTAAAAAGCGGCCGCAACCGTTATATAACGTCGTTACGTAGTGGTTGTGGTAGTTACTGCCACCCGTTACGGCTGCTTTTGCAGTGTGATTGAGATTCACAGGTGTGTCGGCCGTAGCGGCTGTCGTAGCAGTCGTAACAGTGTCATATTAAAAAGCGGCCGCAACCGTTATATAACGTCGTTACGTAGTGGTTGTGGTAGTTACT